ATCGCGCCCACCACACCCGGTTTTTTGCTGCAAACGACCACATCAGCTCTGCCGTTCAAGCGATCGGGCTCGATAACCTGGACAGCCACTGCACAAAATGCACGCCAGCTTATTTCGTGCTGCTCTTCAGCAATCACACAGTACACCAAAGAAACAACGAAGTTATAAGGTTCGAGTTGAAAATTCAGTTTACGACGTGACGGAGACAGACACGTGTGTTGCAGCCGGGTGCGTTACCAGCTCGATGGGGATGCTTGTGTCCGAGAACGCGCCCCCGACACATGATGTCCGAGATGGCGCCCCCGACACATCTTATACGAGATGGCGCTCCCGACACATGCCGTCCAAAATGGCGCTCCCGACACATGTCCGAGAACGCGCCCCCGACGCATGTTGTCCGAGAAGGTCCTCCGACACATGTCCGAGAAGGCCCTCCAGCACATGTTGTCCGAGAAGGTCCTCCGACACATGTCCGAGAAGGCCCCTCCAGCACATGTTGTCCGAGAAGGCGCATCCCGACACACGTTGTCCGAGAAGGCACCTCCGACACATGTCGTCCAAGAAGACGCCCCTGACACGTGGCATCCGAGGAGCGCCCCCCGCCACACAAGAGCGTCACGTCAGCTGACCTGGGCCGAGATGCCAACCAGCAGCCAGTTGAGCTTGTGGTCGGTCCGGTAGTTGATGATCTGACAGCCCGTCAGCGTGGAGTGGCGATCAAACATTTTCAGCGGCTGTGAGTCACCTGGCCAACACCAAACAAGTCATCACACGCAATGTGGCATGAAGCGAAATATCCAAACTATTGAGATTCATTACAGCAAGGGAATTGAGACCTGCATATCCACATACATGCTGTGGATATGTGTCATATGTGTCACATGGATATGTGTGGATGTGTCATATCCACAAATCATATCTGCATATCCACCTCACTGTGCATATAAACAAATGTACAAGATGATGTGAGCTAACAGCACATCAGATGCCCACAAATCACCCAAAACAAACAATTTCCAAGCTGTTCACTGATATCAATGTGCTGATGAACTGATTGTGCCTTACCTTCCATGCTCCAGTGGAAGACAGATGTTTCTGTGATGATTGCCACTGTGTTTATGTTGATCCACTTCCAGAATACAACCTCCTCTGACATTGTGTGGGCCTTCACCTTGCTCTTCATCTCTATATTGAAGATTTGTAATGTCTTGGCAGCTGAAAGGAAAACAATGTTCAGGGAAGATCCCAACACTTGCATTACATTGTACAATGAAGGAGGTGTTAGTTTTCAAGACTCAATTTGGCTGATAGATGTCATAATTACTTGGTGTTGAATGTCAGTTAGAAATGAAAGAACATTTCAGTATGGCTCAACACTTTCCCATGGCATAATTGTCTTGCAGAATGCCAGGAAAGTCATGCTAATCTTGACATTTACACTAGCTTTCTGGATGAGAATGCTCACCTTTGAGGGCAATAACTTTGCTGCCTGGGTTCATGATGGCCGAGTCCGCCGAAATTGGTCGCCGGATGGGGTTGCTGGTGTCTGCCATGTCAATGATGACCACCTGGGCAGTCTCTCCCACCTTCTCCCTCACACAGATGAACTTGTCTGACTCCATGGTCAACATGTTGAACCCAATGTTGGAAGCATTGATACCCACATTGGTAAGCTGTAACACACAGAAGTACCAAACTGACAATACATTCCACTATCACCTACACAATGATGAGAATATGGTGGAGTTTACACTGGTCAATCATATTATCAGGCTGGGTATCCTAATAAAATGATACACCTTATGTTGTGTTTTAAATTTCAGACACAACTGGTAGCTGAAGTGCATTACATTTGAATCATGACTCATTTTACAATCCTTGATCCACAGTGATATTTGGATGCAGATGATTGGAATGTTCCTTAGGCATAACTATTGTATGAAAGACTGTGTGATCAATAACTATCAGGGTCATGCAAGTGTAGCATTTTTCCAGCACTCCAATTTTCATATCCAATCTACATGGCCTCAAACAAGTTACCTGTTGATTGTATACCTGCACAACTGTTTCCTTTGTGACCATGCAGCAACAAAATGTGAGACATCGGTGGCACTGCCTAATGACCACACCTGGTATCTGTCAAACTAGAGGTGTAGTTTCTTTACAGGATATAAGTACTCTGTTCAGACTCCAAAATGTGTCTTATCCTATAAACTCTTGTGGCTTACTACTTCTACCACAGTAAAAAAGAGCACCTACTGAAAATGTGAAAGAAATGTGTTCAAGGCCCTACTTGGCCCATCTATCACCTGAAGTGCAAGTTGGAAAAAGACAGTATGAAGTTGCAAGCCTCTGGAGCCTCAGCATCAGCATTTAACATTGGCAGACAAAATTCATAGCTGCATGAAACATTGCACACCAGCATCAAGCCACAGCACTCTTGAGACAAACTTGCAGTGACCAAAATTATCCAGAAGAAAGACACTCAAAACACAGGCAGGTGGCAAACCAGAATTGTCTAGAAAATACACTGCACAGGTCATCCAGTTGTAGGCAAGCTAGAAAAATGTCAATGGAAGGACACATAAAGATTCTGTCATGGATGATCCCATCACCTGAGCAGAAAATTGTATCTGTATATGTATGGAGGTTTGAGATGAAAACACTGACCAATAAGTTATTGGAATGGTTATACTCAAGCATCAAGACTTGCTAGATCCCATACAAGTAGATATTTTGGAGGCTGTAGATGCATAATTCAGAATATATTAGCTTCATCTTGAATCTAGTTAACACCATAAAAGATGCTCTGTATCCAAAAACAACGACAAAAACAAAAACAATGAGAAGTGCTACACTACCTGGGAACAGACCAAGGTTTCTGTCAAGTGCAGCGCAGACTACTTATCCAGAACACATGTGCATGACCACCATATAAGTGCTCTTCCTACCCAAAAAGTCAGATTTATCCACAATATATCATGTTTTTAATTTTTAATTTTTTTATAAATTTGGTCCAAATCCTTTAAATGGATGGATTTCTGGGATCAGCGCTCATGCTAAGCAGTGCTTGTGGTGCGAGCCCTGACCCCCACCATCCGATCGCGCAGTTCCAGGCAACGGCAATATTTAGTGGCGAAAGCTTTACGTGCCGCGATGCTCGGCACGGTCCGTCCTGCCCTCTGACGTCAACTGACCTTTAGCGCGACCGCTGCCACCGGCCGCAGGCCATACCTGCCAAGGGCAAATAGCGAGCGCCCTAAAGCGACTCGAACCCATCCCGCAACGGATGGGTGTGGTCGGAATGCGGGCGCTCTAACCAACTGAGCCACCGGGATGGACAAATTGAGCAATCACCAAGAAATTATCAGCTACTCTTTTATATTGACTCAACGAGGCAACTGTGGACCTAAGAGTGATTGGAAATGCGCTAGATTTTTTAAATTGCGCAACCACCAAGAAATAATTAGCCACTCTTTTATATTGCCTTAACAAGGCAACTGTGGACCTTAATGTGATTGGAAATATGTTAGATTTTATGTTAGATGCATAGTTGCTAGACATTTGGGAGATAAGGCAACCTGCCTGCTTGTGGATGCCTCTGATGCATAAAATGACCACAAGGGTTTACAGAACTTTGCTCCCATTCACAGTGCTCCAAACACAAGAAAAAAACAAATAAGAAGATAGCTGCAGATTTTTTTATATTTGCACACTATGGACACCGGACAACAGAATTTCACACTGAATAGATAGGCAGTGAAAACAGCTAGCACTTATGTTAGTCCACAACCTCCGCTCAGCCATGCCTCCCAACCAGTGCCTTGAGGGTGGATAAGTGAGGTGCAGTAACTTCTTGGAAGCCAGAGCACTGAAATACTGGAATCACTGCTGGCCTACTGGCTGGTCCTACACCAACACAGGCATGTAAACCCACTTAGCACATTGTTCTCCTGGTTGTATGCTTGATAGGGCACTCTGCCACTCACTTTAGGTGTGCCTCTATGAATCATTTTCAGTCCATTCAACAGCATTTGATCATCTGCCTGGTGTCACAATTATTTGTACTGCTTCTGGCAGGGATCATGAACACTAACCTGGATTCCCACCCTGAACCTGCACAATTTAGCACACTTGTCACAGACACATGCTGTGGTCCTGACATAACCAGAGATGGTGCAGCAGGGGGGGGGGGGGGGAGAGTATGTTTTCCACCACCCAATCTTTGAAAGCCCCTTTTTTCCCAACTACAGGGTTCATAACTTCCTCTAGACTTGCCAAAATTCAGATCAAGGAAGCCTCCTATAACTGAGCTACAGAGCAATATAAAGTGGGCTCACAACATCATTTTCTACCTCAAGAAGCTTGTTTTCTGGTTCATACTGCCACTTTTGTGAATACAGTATCACATGCTCTAGATAGAAGGCACAATGCTGTGTTAAGGAGGCCCCTAATCCTGGCTCAGGCTGCTCTTATAAACTAGTAAGCCCATTCTGAATTGGAGGACACTCTCTTTATTCCGGAGCCCCATTTCTGGAACTGGAGGCCTCTACATGCATCAGAATATGACTGTTCTAAGGCAGAATGCCCTGTTTTGTAATAGATGGCCTTTAGCTAGATTTAGAACCCTGTGCACTGGAAGCCAATTCTTCCCATGACTTATTCTACAGCAGCCACATACACATATGTGATCCATGGAGCCACGACCATGGAGGTGAAAACATGTAATAGGTTGTCTGAACTGATTCAGGTCAGGCTGAGTTTTTGGTAGTTTTACCATGAAACAATGCATTGCCACTACCATATCTTCCATGGCATTGGGTGGCAAACCCCCACACCCGGGCTCTCTCTGGTATTGTGTGATCCCATAGAATGAGTAAGAAAGAGAAGCTCCCAAATTAATGCTATAGGCATCTTCATGAACAGGATCATGTATTTAATGCACTCAGTTGATGTCTGTTTTACTGGCCAACATTTTATTTTGTGGCTATTTTAAGAGCATCTATCCAAAGTACTGACAATCTGTAGAAATGATAGTTAAAACTAGGACACCCCTTTCCCATCTCATCTTATTGATATCTTTATCATCAATTGAAGCATTTTCTGATCCTCAAAACTGACTGGCAGGACCTCTTTTAGGATAGCATAATGCTAAGACATACAATCATCTTCCAGGGTTCCAAATTAAGTGTTACCACATAAATAAACTTTTCATTCAAAAATTGTTGTATGCCCTTAAACCAGGCAGTTAATTTTATATTTCAACTAAAGTAACTTATGTAATTGATATGGTTTAATCATTTTCACACTTAGCACATATCATCACAGGTACTAAGGACATGTTCTATTTGCCCATGGTACCCCCAAGAATTGTGGGTGGTTCTATTCAGACCATATTGGTACCTCAAATCCAGTCTGCAAAAAAACTCCATACACTATTTTAGATGCTTATGTGACATCAGTATGCTAAGCCTCTTGCTTGTGTGCATCAAACTATGGCCAGACTAAATTGCATTGAATTTTCATTTCATGTAGGCATGAAAAATGCTTAAGGAGTATTTTTGATTAGAATTACCTTTCCAACACCATGGCTTCAAGCATCAATGGCTGTATGCTGAAAGTTGCATTAACTGTACCACACTTTGATTACATTTTGGGCATAAATGCACTGAAATTTATGGAGCAATGTCTCTGCTACAATGAACATGTTTAGCACATCATGAACTTTTAGCAGCCAGGCCCAAAAGCACTGAGCATGTCATTTCTGATACACAGTGCATTAGGTTAAGGAAAACAACATCGGTAAAAACACCATAGCTACATTCTGGAATAAATAGATGCAACTAACACAGATAACATCACAACTATTAGCTTCTATCAAAATTTCGACAACCATCTCTGTGTCCCTGCACCCCGCACAATAAACCTAAGAAAAGACTAACCTGCAAATGTTCCTGGAATTTGATAGGAAGAATTTGGGCCATGGTGAGGCGCTTGGTAGGGTCTTGGTGATCTTAACCCCGCTTGCAGCCCTTGAAGTCGTAACACTGGTCACTGCCTCTTCACCAAATTAATTACTTATGAAAAACGTCACACCACTCCCACAATCCTGCCAGCCGCCGGCTGCCGCTATTCCCTGTCATCAGCACAACTGCATGGAATTACGAAATTGTCCAATTCTTCGTAACAAAGTCACATGAGAAAACAAATTTCGAGGCTCAATTTTATATCTCACTGCATTATTCTGTCTTTAAAGCTGTAAATAGAGGCAAAAAGTCTATTGGAAATATACTACATTCTTTCGTACTGATAACAAATTACCAGCGCAAGATTATTCGGTTGCCAACGTTTACGCCCCCAGAATTCATCATAATGGCGTCCGAATTTGCAATTAGATATCACACCTACACCGAAGAGGTGCCAAGCTCAAAAGATATCCTTTCTCCACATATTTATTTTGATACAAATTCAAGCTTAATGTATATATCTCAACTTTGTTAGGTGAAGACAAAATTGCCTTTATAGACAATGCAGCTAAATCAAATGCACAACTACACTGCAAGACTCAGGAAATACATTACCAAAATTTCTAGAGCCTGAAAACGACTTTGGCCGACAAATAAAGGAATAGATTCTAAGATTGAGAATCAACTCCAAGCTTCTTTTGTTCATATACAGACCCCATTCTGAACGTGTACAAACAATACAACTAACCCTACGCACCCGAGATACTTCTGAAAAATCAGGTGTGTCGCAGCATGGTGTGATTTGCTGAGATTTTTTCTTCCAATTTTTTTAAGGATGATGTGGGTGAAAAATTGGGTACGCTTTCCCCGCTACCTGCATCTTGAGGCTCCGGCCTAATAAACTATGTTGATTAACAGTACGCAAGATGTTTTCGTGGCTTTTGATAGTTGCATGTTTTCATGTGGTGCTCCCTGCCATTAAAACAAGTAGAATTGAGTGAAACTTTTTCGAAGTCTTAAATGTATTCCATTCTTTCCTTAAGCTTATATCAACGAAGCTGAGCTAAATGTTTGAAGAGATTTCTCTCGAAGTGAGCTGTTTCATAATTTGCTCGCGCTGTTTACTCATGGCTCCCCCAAAGGCGCATTGAACTTGGCGCATTTGTTATCTGCTGCGCATCCATTACTCGGCAACGAGCGATGGTTGGGAATCGGCTTGGATGATGAGCGCGGGTAGGTGGTGGGTAGAAGCGTGTGTAAGTTGTAATGGCCGAAATTGTCCGCGATATTGTGTAATAAGGGGCAGAGTTACGCAATCTGAGGATGAAAATGTGTGCCTGGTCTGGGTGATGATGAGATCTAAGTCGTTACGCAATGTTTTAAACAAAAGATGGGCTACTGCGTGATTGATCAATCATCGAGATGCAACGGCCCAGCGCAGCGTTTTTTAGTTCTTGGTAAGAGGGACATTTGAGTAAGCACAATGGATGATTTCATTGTGTCTTGTGCTTACCAACCTCATCAAGTATCAGCTGAGTTTTTTGTGTATGTGATTATGCATGCCATGGTGGTGTGACCTGAGGTCTTTCATTTTGTATGTGTCAGGCTGCACCTTGATTCTCATGTTTGTTCCCCTGTCAGCAATGTTAGCATTACAGCTTTAAGTGGTTGTTGATCTGCAGGCATAAGAGGATGGTCTTATTCTCTCAATTCATAGGCTGAAGCAAGCTTGGAAAAAATCCATCCACTGGATCGGATGTCCACATAACATTAGTGTGCTAAACCTGGTGCACTTGTCTGGCAGCCTGAATTCAGGGGATTTTTTCAAGCTTGTGGTTTCTTTTAAAAGCTTTTAGGAGTTTTTCATTTGTGGGAAGCAGCTTTTGGTATGGTGCAATTCCTCCAAACATTGGCCTCTAAGCTCTAATATTGGTGGCAACTATGTCCAAAATTATGAGTGCTCATCCTTTAAGCATGCATTCATATGATATCAGTACCAAGCATCATCATTAGCCAAGATTCTGGGCATGTCCAGTAAGATGTCTGTTTAGCAGTCTGGTTGAATCTTGTGATGCATTCATTTAGAAACTTAGGTAGGATAGATAGGCCTTATTTCTGAATATCTTTATGCTGAACTTTGTGTTCATTTAGGCTCTGAAGAAATGAAAGGCTGAAGCACTTGAAAGCATGCTAAATTATAAACCAAAAGGCTATGATCAGTTGCAGGATGAATAATTTTCAGCCAGGTTGTGGATGCACTGCTTCTAGTCAAGCATAGTTACTAATTGTGATGATGATAAGATGAAATTCAGATTTAGTGTAATGGTTAATTGCTATGTAAATTTCCAACCATGATGTTAGGCATAAATGCATCCTAGGTACCAGCTTTCAATACTTGGCAACTTGTTATAAGATAGCATGATAGATAGATGTAATCTTGATTTTTCTTAAAGCAGCAGTTTTTGACAAGGCTGTTATGATTAAATATGCCTGGCTTTTCATTCTTTGCATTCTGACAGGTTAGGGCATAATCTTGCTAGTATAGAGTTGCTGTCTTGAGCTGTCATTGACTAATGATATTCCAGCCATCTTGGCTTATTTGCTTCTGTCATGCATACTATCCTTAGCCATGTTTGAGAGTATCTATTATAGTATGTGGTTCAGTATGAGAGTATCTATTATAGTATTATCTATTATAGTATGTGGCACCACATACATATATAGTATAGTATGTGGTGCACTCCTATGAAGCTTGTTTATGTTGAATATGGCAATCTAAAAAAATATATCATTCATATGGTTGTGTTTTAGTTGAGGCACCAGTTAATTGTATATCACATGGCAAAATGTTTAAACCAGGTCTAAGTATGACATGCATCCAGATTGTAAAAAGGTGCTTAATTGTAAAACTACATAGAAAAATATCTTATTTCTTGCAATTGCTTATATTGATGGTGTGCATTGTTTTGAAATACGTTGTACTGGAATATGCTGGGCCTAATATCATAATTATTATCCTACAACTTGGCTATGCAGTCAGTGCCTAGAGACTGCAGCAGATTTGTTTTGCTTGTACATTCACCTGCCACTGTTGTATTTCAGGTGCTTTCTAAAGACAACTTTGTTATGAATGGATTAAGCGACCATCAGCGGATTAATGCATCTCATCATCAGCAAATCCACAGTGCAAAAGAAAAGCAGGCACCAAAGTGTAAGGCATTCAAGCTTCTTTCTGACCCATGCATCATCCAAGGAGCAGGGAAGGTGTACAGGTAAGAACATTTTCCTTTGCATTTCTTGAGCACTGCATTTATTTCTCTTTTTGCAGATCATGACCTGCTAATGAAGTTCTTTGTTTCAATGAATGCTTTCAGTTACAAGCAATGACATCTTTCAGCAGTTCCTTCTAATTGTAGGATAATATGGTGTATTGCAGTCAGGGATCAGGAGATGTTATGGAGTGAAGGACAAGTGTTTCCACATACATATATAAATGCACATGCTTACATTTGTTTGAGGCAGTGTGCAAACCTGTTGGAACTGCTCAAATAGAACATTCCACTTTGTGACATATTGGGGCAAGCATTAAATATGATGGAATGGCTTATTTTGACTTATTCTTTTTTTTCTTATTATTGTTGCTATCATTATCATGGTTATAAAAGAGCTTGTTAATGGATGTGTGGAAAAAACAGGCATGAAGAACATTATGTGACTGTATTTTGACTCTTGTGGTGTCCTTGATATTTTTTTTTTTTTGCTGCTATCTCATGTGTTTTTCTTTCAGTTTCATTCCTGGTAATGGTGGTTTTCTTAAGTTATTTGGTTTCTGGACTCAAGTCTTCCATAGCTACTAGAACCGCACAAATACCTGTATTATGTAGTACAAATGTGGTTCATGATCAAGACATGGTTTGAATGTGCTGAGTTTATTCAGAGCCAACTGCTGTCTGTTGATGGGACAGTTAGTGTAGATGCGCTTAAGCATGAATAGGTTGATGGTCATATTTGTCTTGACCTTGAGCACAATGTGACCACCAAGGAGGGCAAATCATGTGATGTATCTATGATATTATAATCACTGGTTGATTTCAAAGTAGGTGATGTAAAATATTCTGCATAGATTTGTGTGTTTCTAGCTCAGAAACATTATTATTTGAAGGCTTACATAGGGCATAGTTGTAAACTGCAAAGAATGGCCTTGAAAATTGTATTTCATTGTAAGACCTGGTGCAGATGTGGAACAGCCTGTTTAAAATACCTTTTAGTTAAAACATGTACTATAATACATAGCATTGCCATAGAGATAGGCTGTGCATTTGTTAAAGCTATAGCTAGTTTATTAGCCAATTCAACACTGCAAGCATGTTTACACAGCAGCCCATCATAGAATAGGCTATTGCGGAGCCACAGGGGTTTTGGATTTACACCAGCCTTTAAAGTACTCAGCTGAGGTATGATTACTTGAAATGAGGGAGCCACTCACGATGGACAGGAGACCGCCGCGCCTAGTGAGGCGGCGCGCGGGCCAAGCCGCCGGTCTTATCCCAACAGCAAGAAATGCTGCAGAGCATTTTCTAACTGAGAAGGAATGTTTATTTTGACAAGTCCATATGGTTTGTAAGACACTGGCACCAGCGGCAGGGTGGCTGGCGCCCGGAACGGTCACAGCAGGACGTAGCCGCCCCGGCAGCGGGTCCCGGCCGTGCCGCCGCCTCCAGCAGGGTTCGGCGCATTCCCCGCATGTCCGCCTAGATTGGGACATGCGATTGCCTTCCTGATGATGGCTTGGTTACTTTATTTACATGTGGGAAGAGGAAAAACACAGTTATATCAGCAGTAGCCTAGTTTGTTGTATCTCTGGTCAAGTTGTCTCCTGCTCTCAGTGTCTTTGTTGTATTATCAAAATATTGTGTGTCGCATATAGGCTATTCAAATGTCATTAGAAAACGCTGCAACTGTAGCGATAACTAAGCCCAGTCTACATATTCGACGCTGCTCGAAACACTCCCATTTCATAAATATTTTGTTTGGGTCCGTCATGCATTGCATGACATGGTTTTTTGCCATTGCGATCCAGCAGCATAGTGATACGACGGTGGGCATTAAAAATCGAGGGCACTGTGGATGGGAGCAAAGCTATCAGGACATTGCAAGTCATGGGTACAAACAATTAATGCATTAGTTAATCCGATTTTTAATGTTTAATAATAACTTTTAAACAATATGTTTTCAGTTGGTAATAATAATTTTGATTTGTAATAATATTTCTATTTTGATGATGCATATTTAACAATAAATTGTTATTAATAGATATGTAATCCGAGCCTTTGAGTGGATGGATCTCCGCGAGCAGAGCTGGCGCTAAGCAGAGCCTATGTGAACCCTGACCTGTGCCATCCGATCGTGCAATTCCAGGCAATGGCAGAATTTGGGGGGCCAAAGTTTAACGTGCTGTAATGCTCGGCACAGTTCATCCTGTCCTCTGATGTCACCAGGCCTTTAGCGCGGCCACTGACCTGACTGACCGCAGATCATACCTGTCAAGGACATCGTTATGGTCATAGAGCAAAGAAGCGGTAAATGCAATCGTCGCCCGTTAAGTTGAGGCGGGCAGGTGTCGGTGTGAGCGGCGTACCGTCTTCCCAGGTACGATGGCAGGGTACCCAACGACGCCACGTACCCGACGGTACAGGTGCGCGACCCACGGCCGCCGCTCACGCGCATCTGGTCCCGCATGGAGGTGGTCGAGCTCTCCGTGCCCAAGTTCAAGGTAGGCGTGTGGTGTCGCCCGGTGGGTGGTGCCGCCGCCACGGCCTGCTGCCCTTTGGCGCTCCCAACGTCGGCGGCCCCGATATGTGCCTCATCGTAGGCACGTTGTCTCCAGCCACGCATCGTGTGACTTCTTCGGACTGTAGCCTCGCCTGGTGACGTGTCGTTATTGTGGCATTACGCAGTATCGCTGTGGTGGCGAAACTCGCGGCTAGTGGGCCGATGAGCGGCGCCGTTCCGAGCGCTGGCGGGACGGGCGGCGCTGGACGCGGGACGGGCGGCACTGGGCACGGGACGGGCGGTGCTGGACGCGGGGCGGGCGGCACTGGGTACGGGACGGGCGGTGCTGGACGCGGGACGGGCGGCACTGGGCACGGGACGGGCGGCGCTGGACGCGGGACAGACGGCACTGGGCACGGGACGGGCGGCGCTGGGCGCGGGACGGGCGGCGTTGGGCGCGGGACGGGCGGCACTGGGCGCGAGACGGGCGGCGCTGGGCGCGGGGCGTCCGCTGCACAGGCTTGCTCACGGCTCCACCGCCGGCAGATCGACGCCAACTACGTGGGTGCGCCACCACCGCTGGAGGTATCGGTCACCAACATCAACGACAACATCGATAAGACGTTCCTAGCGGAAATGGTAAGCGTACCGTACCTCCGACTCCTCGGGCACACCCCGCGGCGACGCGATGGAGGGCCGGATGTGGGCCCGATGGTGCATTCACGACTGGGTTTCCGCTGTTTTTGACATGCACAAGATGCCGTGCATTGAGGTGGACATGCACGCATGTTGGTACAAATGGGTTGCCGTTTACCCTCTGTATCTAAACCACGTCTCCAACGAGGTCCGTCTTATGACAACCTCCTTGGGCTATTGCTGATGTGGTCATACCGTATGTTCTAGGTGCATAAATGCGGCGAAATTGAAGAGCTGGCGATCTTCTATCATCCAAGGACCAACAAGCACCTAGGCATTGCGCAGCTCGTATTTCGCCACGTGCAGGGGGCGAGAGCTTGCGTGGAGAAATTCAATCACACGTCCGTCATGGGCAACGTGTTGAGTGTGTTCCTTGATCCGTTCGGTAAGTCAGCGTCCACAATGGGCCACAAGCGTGCCCAGGACTTACGGACGACTGCTGGCACAATTTTTTACGGATTTTGATCGCTGCCCTTAAAAGCGGTATCTTGTGACTGGGCACCAGCAAGCAGGAAATTGAAATCATTCGTAACAGTTTTTTATGCTTATTTCTTCGATTTTTTTTTATTTGATCTCGCATAAACGTAACGCATGAACAGCAGCGGGCCAGTCACCCGGCTGGGGTTATTTGGTATTGTTTTGCCGCTGTCAGGGGCCAAGGTGCGCCAGATGTACACGGACCTGCTTGAGGACCGGCCGGTGCCTCGAGAGGAGCCGCCGCCTGCGCACGAGGACCCACTGGCCGTCTGGACGGAGCCGGAGCGCGCCGAGCCGGAACAGGAGCCGGCGGCGCCGCCGGAGCCGGAGCCGGTCGAGGCGCCGCGGCCGACGGCGCCCGCCGCCGACCGGCCGGCAACCACCTCCGCCGAGGAGGAGGACCCGGCGGAAGAGCCCGGCGAGCGCGTGGACCTGGACACGCGCATTGCGCTCCTGCTGCAGCGCAAGTCCAAGCACAGCTTGGCTCCGTCGTTCGCGCAGCTGCTGGACAGCGGCGGCGAGGCGGCGTCCAGCTCCGGCTCGGAGGTGGACTCGGACGTCTCGTCCGACGACGCGACGCCCGAACCGCTGAGCGTCACGCCGTCGCCGTTCGTGTCGCGCGAGCGCTATCTCCAGAGCCACCAGCTGGTCCGCGAGCGGCTGGCCGAGCTGCGCGCGCGCCGGCCGCAGCGGCCAGCGCAGCTCACTCGAGGGGCTGCGCTCCTTCCAGGAGCTGCGCCGCCGGCTGGGCGTGCTGGACGTGGGCGACGGTGAGCGGCCGCGGCGGCGCAGGCGGCGGCGCCGGCCGCGCGCCGAGCCGGCCTCGGAGCCGCCGCCGCCGCCGCCGCCGCTCAACGGCCGCCCCGAGCCGCCGCCGCCGCCGCCACTGCCGCCGCCGCCGCCGATGTACCCGCCGCCGGGCGCCGCCGCCGAGCCCGGCGTGCCGTACCCCTGCTGGCGGCCGCCAGACTGGCCGTACCCGTACCCGCCGCCGCCCGGGTACCAGGTGTACGGACCGCCGGCGCCGGCGTCCGCGCCAGAGCCCGGCTACGACGACGTGCTGCCGGCAGAGGCAGAACAGCTCACACCCGACCGGGTGGCCCAGTGAGTACAGTCTGAGAGCTCGGCGGTCCTTACGGCGGGCTGACTGCAGCTGGTGGTCATTGTATTTGGGCGTGACCTCTGGTTTGGCTCTGTTAGGGGTGCGTTGCGCTGTATTGTTGAGAGCACTGAATCTGTGCTATGCTACATTGATGACGCTTGCGTGAGTATGAATGTGTCGTATATGTCACGGCTTCTTACGATCCACAGGCATTCCTTAGACCAAGTAGTGAAAGAGTTGAAACAGATACTTAAGAAAGACTTTAATAAGAGGATGATTGAGAACACTGCGTACAAGCAATTCGAGAAATGGTGGGACGACCAAGCCGAACAGCACAAGGTATGTATCGAACTGTTGGTGAATGAGTTTTTTATTATTGGAGATCGGTTTTATTTAAATTGCAAACTAGTTTCACGTAAATTTACAAACTGGGCATGTTTGTAAAGTTCACAAGTGATGAGTATCTGTGGAGCGCTCAACAGACGAAGTGATGTGTCAACACGACTGCTGATTCGTCATTGGGGTCCACTTTATGTACCTCCATGTAGGTACCTTCCAATGCCTTAGCTCATGCACTGCCCACATGTTGAAAAAGCCGTTAAAAGCGTGGCGCTTGTCCGAAGCTGCCCAACTGGCTAGGAGTGCTGAGACCCGGCGCCGGGCGCAGCACGCCTCTGACCGGTGCCGTGTGGTGCGGCAGGCGCGGGGCGAAGAGAACCGGACGCAGGGCGGCTCGGCCCTGCCTGTCAAGCGCTCCGACCTCAGCTCGCTGCTGGAGAACAATCGCGGCTCGCTCTCCGGCGCCGGCTACGGCCTCGGCTTCCGCATGTCACTGCCTAAGATGCCCTCCTTCAGGGTGAGTCGACTTCTGGCATTGCTCTGGCAGTGCGGACTCACACAGGCACGGGCTCACTGCGCCATCCGCCGCTCGTTCCAGGGGCACGTCGGGACTGTCTAATGGCGTTTACTCCGTTTTAAATCCATTCGTGGGCGTTTCCCTCGAAGAGCTCCATCGCCTTGTGAAAGAAAGGATGAGGTGAAACTTTCAAGATAGGCCGTGCACGATGAGGATGAGCCATTCGCGGCAGGAGCGCTGTCGCTCCTTGTTATGTTGACGCTCGAGTCCAGGGCCGGCGACGTCTTCTGCTGTTGGAAGAGGCAAGCCACTCTCGCCAGGAATGCCCGCAATGTGACGCGCTTAACCGCTAACGCGCCGCCGTGGCACCGGCAGAGGAAGCCGACGCGTCCGTCGCCGCCGCCCGAGGACGAGCCGAGTCAGGCGGCGCCCGACTCGGACTCGGACGCCGAGTCGGAGCCGGAGTCGGAGCGGGCCGAGCCGGCACCGCCGCCGCCGGCTGCGTTGGCCAAGGAGCAGCGGGCCCGCGCCGACCGACCCAGCTCATCCAGCGAGGCGGAGGAGGACGAGGAGCAGCCGGCAAAGGACAGCGATGCCGCGAGCGAGGCGGCGTCGGCCAAGAGCAGCAGCAGTAGCAGCAGCAGCAGCTCGAGCAGTGACAGCAGCAGCAGCAGCAGCAGTGACAGCAGTAGTAGCAGCAGTGAGGATAGCGACGCCGAATTGGATAGCTCCAAGACGAAGGTTGAAAAGGGCGATGTTGGGCGGAAGATTGACAAAGACCCGGACTCTTTGTCGAAGACCGGAACAGCAAAGGCTAAGAGGCGCCTTTCATCTGCCCAGCTCACTTCGGAAAAAGTTCAAAGGAAGCGGTAAGTTGTCTTGTTTTGCGTTGGCTTCTTGTTAGTTCAGAGTTGCTATAACGTTATTGGCAAATTCAGTCAGTTCTTCCCAGTGGAACAAATAGCTTTAATCCTGGCTTCACTCACAATACGTTACGTATGCATCCTCTCAGTTAGTCTCACATAGTGTAGCATCCTAAGCTGTTGTTGGATCTGCCTACCCTTAATTCTTTTGATATCATAGCACAAGAATATTTGCGTTAACTCCATGATTGCTGACGTGAAGACATGATTGCTGTATGCCACCATATCGACAAATGCCCGATCGGGTGCATGTCTTTGTGTTCCCTGGCATCGTTTGATTCCCCCCAGCGACGCCCTGCTGTGGACCACTGTCGATGGCTTCGGTCACGCGCGACCACAGCAAGCCTTTCTGACCCGTGTGTGCTGCGTGCCCCGGCAGTGAGTCTGAGTCGCCGCCGCTACCGGCCACTCCGGGCCGCTCGCCGTCCGATGGCTCGCCGGGCGGCCGGCTGCAGCAGGAGCACTCGTACTGCCGGCCGGCGGCGCCGGGCCGCTCCGGCTCGCCCTCGCCCGAGAACGCCCGCTCGGCGTTGCTGCACGACCGCGGCGACACGCGCCCGCCGGCGGCCCCCGCCCCCGCCCCGCGGGGCAAGCGGCGTGCTGAGCCGGCCGAGCCGGCGGCGCCGCGCGGCTTCGGCAAGCGTGACGTGATGTCCGAGATGGCGCTGCTGTACGAGTTCCTGACGCGCGGCCTGTCGCTCGAGGACATCGACTACCTGCACCGGTGCTATGAGGGCCTGCTGGGCGACGACCAGAACAGCTACTGGCTGAACGACACGCACTGGGTGGACCACGCGGCCACCGACCGGCCGGAGAAGCGGCGGCGGCTCAACGAACCGGCCGTGCACCGCTCTGGCTGCGCGCGCACCGAGGGCTACTACAAAGTCACGCAGAAGGACAAGATGAACCACAAGGTAGGCGGGGAGTGCACCGGTCGCGGAGCTATCGTCACTGGAAATAAGGGAAACAGTCGTGGGGTTTGTATTTTGCGCGGGGTCGTTGAGTTCTTGGCAATATTGGTGCTACCAGTAAGCCAGTTTCTAAGCGCGCCAGCGGCGCCCGCAGTGAGCGCATGCGCTGCGTTCTCCGACGCCGGTGACCGCTGGCCGCGACCATCATTGAGTGACGCGGGAGCGCCGGCCGTGCCGCCCGTGCCGTGACCCAGTAGCCGCCGTGCCGTGACCCGGTGCCGTGACCCGGTGCCGTGACCCAGTGCCGTGACCGGGTGGCTGCCCGTGCCGTGACCCGGTGGCTGCCCGTGAGGTGACCCGGTGGCTGCCCGTGCCGTGACCCGGTGGCCGCCGTGCCGTGACCCGGTGCCGTGACCCTGTGGCCGCCGTGCCGTGACCCGGTGCCGTGACCCGGTGCCGTGACCCAGTGCCGTGACCCGGTGACTGCCCGTGCCGTGACCCGGTGGCTGTCCGTGTAGTGACCCGGTGGCTACCCATGACGTGACCCGGTGGCCGCCGTGTCGTGACTCGGTGGATGCCCGTGCCGTGACCCGGTGGCCGCCCGTGCCGTAACCCGGTGGCTGCCCGTGTAGTGACCCGGTGACTGCCCGTGTAGTGACCCGGTGGCTGCCCATGACGTGACCCGGTGGCCGCCGTGTCGTGACTCGGTGGATGCCCGTGCTGTGACCCGGTGGCTGCCCGTGCCGTGACCCGGTGGCTGCCCGTGTAGTGACCCGGTGGCTGCCCGTGCCGTGACCCGGTGGCTGCCCGTGCCGTGACCCGGCGGCTGCCCGTGTAGTGACCCGGTGGCCGCCGTGTCGTGACCTGGTGGCTGCCCGTGCCTGCAGTACCACTTCGGCCGGACGGTGGCGGAGACGGCGGTGGCGGCGCTCGCCGACGGCCGTGATCAGGGCTCGACGGTGCCCGACCAGCGCTCCAAGGCCGTCACGGCCGCCGCCATCTCCCGGGAGGCTCGCAACAACCAGCGACGCATCCTCACCGTGCTCGGCGGCGAGACCGAGAGTGAGCTGCTCAAGCTCAACCAGCTCAAGGTCAGTCAGAAGCTGGTCTGCTGGTAGGCAACAGACGGGGGGGGGGGGGAGGGGGCAAGCAGAAACCTGGAGCCATTCCTGATAGGGAGGTTTTGAGTGGCGCCATCTGTCGTACAGTGGTCCGTTACGAGCTGTTGGGACGCTGCCAGGAGGGCGTTGTGCTGCGTTTGATGCGTCTGCAGCGTGTGGCTCCCCGGCGCTCCATCTCCCGTTGCCGACACGACCGCGATGTGCTGCGTGCCCGCAGTTCCGCAAGAAGCAGCTCAAGTTTGGCAAGTCGGCCATCCACGACTGGGGCCTGTTCGCGCTGGAGCCGATCGCCGCCGACGAGATGGTGATCGAGTACGTGGGCCAGCACGTGCGCCAGTCAGTCGCCGACCAGCGTGAGCTGGTGTACGAGCGCCAGGGTATTGGCAGCAGCTACCTCTTCAGGATCGACCGCGACAACATCATCGACGCCACCAAGTGTGGCAACCTGGCCCGCTTCATCAACCACAGCTGCACGGTGAGAGCGGCGAGATTACTTTGACGTGTTGTGATCCTTGGAAACCATTTCAGTGGCGTTCCTTCGATGCTCAGGGACTGTATGCTTTATCAGTTTTGTTTCGTGTCCCCGCCAGATGGAGGAAGATGTGGCTAGAACGCCCATGTAGGAAGTTACGTAATCAAACCATGTTGGAAGGATTTGCAACTTGGCATTTGACGTTTGATTGACTGTTCAGCTTTGCAAAACCCATCCTCGGGTTCGTTATCTGCATCGCAAGGATTCCGTGACGCGGCCGACCTTGTCGTGGGATGACATAACAGCGTTTAGTACTAGCTCTCCAGTTTAAGAGCTTTTGTTCGTGTTCAGCCCACCTCCCCCAGTTGCTCGTACGCCCCCGAATGTGGGTCGCTCCCGCCGAATATGGCCCACGACTGATGAATGTCGTATTCAGAAGACGAACATGGCCTGCATGCGTGGAGGTACCGTGTGCTGTATGTGTGTGTGCTGCACACAACCGCTGAGTGCATACAGGATGAAGCCTCCTCCATGAATCTTCTTGATGATGAGTCTTCTGATGATAAGATGGATGAATCATACATTCTCATGCATTCTGTGTCTGCTGGATGCAGTTTGCCTCCATATGATATATGCATATATATATATATATATATATATATATATATATATATATATATATATATATATATATATATCGTCCGTATATATGTCGTCCGTTGGCCGGGTCCAGGCCGCCTAACTCGCTGCCGCAACCCCGCAGCCCAACTGCTATGCCAAGATCGTCTCGGTCGAGGGCCAGAAGAAGATCGTGATCTACTCGAAACAGCCCATTGGCGTCAACGAGGAGATCACGTACGACTACAAGTTCCCGTATGAGGAGGTCAAGATCCCGTGCCTGTGCGGCACGCCCCAGTGTCGCGGCTATCTGAACTGAGCGGGCGCCGGAGGCGGCCGGTGCCAGCGCAGCGGTCGGCGGCGGCGCCCCCGACGCGTTCTCCGGTCTCCGGGGCGGCGCCGGACGCCGGCCAGTGGACCGCGCCCGGTCGGCGGCGGCGTGCCGGACGCCGGCCAGCGGACCGCGCCCGGTCTCCGGGGCGGCGCCGGACGCCGGCCAGTGGACCGCGCCCGGTCGGCGGCGGCGTGCCGGACGCCGGCCAGTGGACCGCGCCCGGTCGACGGCGGCGCGTCGGACGCCGGCCAGTGGACCGCGCCCGGTCAGCGGCGTATCAGGTTGTGTTGGGGTGTGGTGTGTCGCCTGCCGTGGTCCGTGGCGGGTCCAGGGAGAGGGCGTGGCTGGCGGCGGCCACAGCGGCGGTGTCCCTGGCCGTGCGGGGACCGCCGCTGGGGGCTAGACCCGAGGTCGCTCGGCGGCCTGCGGTCCGGCGTCGCCGAGCCAGGGCCCATCCATAGTCTTTCAGTGCGTGTTTTAATTCGTGCAATCTCATCGGAGTGAACGCCGGCGGAACGAAGCTGCATCACGTGTACGAAACAAGGCGTGGTCGCCGGGCATTTGACCCTCCGTCGCATCAGGCCTGTGTAAGAGACTTACTTGTTTGTCAGGTGGTAAAATCGTGAGCGTATTTACCGTGAACGTTGAAATGTATTTACGTACGCTTGGGCTATTGCTTGTTGCACGATAAATCATTGGATTTTGTGATTCCGTGTTGAATTCACCGCCATGTGTGTGGTATTGTTAATACGAACAGTGAGTATATTATATCTTCTTTGCTGGGAATGGCAGACAGTTATCGGTACAAGAAACCCGATTTACATGTACGAGCCGGTGATTGGGTCGCGTGATCTGTTGGAATGGCTTAGATCGGATGATGTAAAGAAGAAGCTTCGTGAGTGGCCCGATTAATGAGGGTTGGTCTCCACCACAAGTATATTTCTCAAACATCCGTCAGCTTGCCACGAACTCAGTGTTTATAGGTCTGACAGGATGTAAGGAGTAGTGCTAGCGGCTCGGTCAGACGTGTGCGTGGTCAGAGGTGTGCGGGCCCTTCTCGCTGGCTATCATGTCGACCACCCAGTCCACGTAGCTGGAGACGCGCGTGTACACACCGGGGAAGTCTGGATCTCCGCAGCCGACGCCGAACGACACGAGTCCGCTGAGCTCGTACCAGCCGTCGGATCTGAACACGGTGAGAGGCCCGCCCGAGTCGCCGAGGCAGGCGTCGGCGCCGGCCTGCTCCGGGTCCGCCGCGCACAGCTTGGTGCCGTTGAAGCCGCCGTCCGGGAACGAGTCGTCGAAGCTCGGCAGCTGGCGATAGGTGGCCTCGCACTGGGCCGAGGGCACCAGCGACAGCGGCGCCTCCCGCAGCACGGGCGTGTCGGCGCCCGCGAACGAAAGCCGACCCCAGCCGGCTACCAGCAGATAGTCGCCGTTGCCGTCGGTCGTTTTGTCCGCCTCCGGCAAGCAGATGGGCTGCATAAGCCTGCTGAAGGTGACCGTGCCGTCCAGCCGCAGCAGCGCCAGATCGTTCTGTCGTCTGCGCGAGTTCGGATGCGCGATGCTGCGCAGCACGGCAAAGTCCTGGTGATGCCCGTCGGTCGTCGACGAAAGGTTGTACTCGCCCAGCCGCAGCACCAGCTCCCCTGCTGTGTGCGAACGCACGCAGTGCGCTGCCGTCAGGGCGTGCCAGCGTGTGATGAGCACGGCTCCGCACAGCCAGCGCGGCCCGTCGCTGCTGCTCGCGGCCGGCCGGTGTAGCCCGAGCAGCGCCATCCACGGCCAGCGCGTGCGGTCCGCCACCCGGCCGCCGCTAACGTTGCGTCGGAAGCGGCCGCCGGCGGAGCTGCCGTCGCTCGGGAGGCCGCAATCGGCGGGCAGAACGTGACGCCGGTCGTTCGGGGCCAGCGTGCCGCCGTGGTCATGGGATTGCCGTGGAGCAGCTCTGACGTGAGACTGGGCACGGGCCGGCTCCGGCGCTCGATTGTTAAAGGGGGCGTCGTGGCTAGCGCCGAATCCGTGCCGATCACCGAAGATCGCTCCCTGGCAGCAGAGTGCCATAAGCTGGCAGTTTGACGGCGTCCTCCGCCAGCGGTGCGACCTCCGCCATCCCTGCGACCAGCGCGATGGCCTGATATGCCGCGGCAACGCGCATGGGAACTGACGGTAGCAGGCGTTGGCGAGTTCTCCGGCGCCGGCGCAGGGGTGGCGGTGCGGGGGGTGTGCGGTCGTCACCGCTACCAGCAAGCACAGCAGCACCGACACCCACATGTTCGCACGGCGCTCCAACCCTCGACGCGGAGCGGGTCCGATCGCTGCTGGCGCCGGACTGTCACAAACGTGTGACGAGCTGAACTGGCCTGAGCTGATGACGTCGACAAATGCCAGGACTGCTGCAGCAGGGCGGCGTGGGCCCTCAACACGTAACGCGCAGCGCTGCAGACACGCACCCGACCTGCACGTCCTGTCCAGTGTGAACACAGGAAAGAACTGATGAGGACTGGACCTGCTTCTTCTGTGGTGGCTTAGGTTGCACTGAGCTGACAGCCTGTGTTGCTCAGTCGTGCTTGGTCCGGTTTTAGATTGGAAAGTACTACAACTATAGAATTCCGAGAATCCATGCACCAGCAAACAGAGGATTAACGTGCTGAGGAAAATATCCAGTCGTGCAAATGCTCTTTATTCTTTCCATACAAATGAACGGTGAAATGGCAACACCCATGACGCGGTTGAAAAACCTCGCTGGTCTCAAGGAAAGCTGCGGACAACAAAGCGGGCGGACGGCTGGCTGCGACATTTGACGAGGCCCCGTTGGTGTGCGCGCGCACGCAATCATTAGCACCCTGTCCTGCGCTACCCGTCGCCATTTGCTACGCCACTAGCCAGAAAGCCTCAGCTGCTCGCCGCAAACATGGGTGGTGTCCGTCTCGGACGCTGCATCTACAGCCACCGCGGTTTCGGGACGGCCGTGGGCGAATCCAGGCGCAAAATAGGATTTTCCGAATGTTCTTTCGGTGGGTCTTTCCGAGAATCACGTCATTGGCGGTGTCACAACACAGGGCTGTTCGGAACCTGTGGCCACCCGCACCCAGCTCCGGATGAATGCAGGGAAACTCGGACGCCTTTTTCTGCGTAGAGGGATCGCCTCTTGCTTTCGAAGGATGCGCGCGCCCTACGTTCTTGAAATTCTTCGAAACGGTGAAGTCACCCTCACGCATTGTATCGGCAGACAACACCGAGAGTGACGTATAGTCGTGGTCATTGTATCCGATTCGTTTGAACGCGGTGGCGCCAGAGCAGATGAGGGCGATAAGTTAACTTTTTTGACGGCGCACTCCCGTAGTGATTCATTTTCCTGCAATGCAACGGGTCTAGTCACGCTTGGCTGCTGACAGTGTCGTCTTCGTTTTCTATCTGCCAGGCGACCTATCCAACGAGACGTGATTTGCTTAGCATTGACCGCGAGGCCAGATACACCTGGAAATGAAGCGATGCGCCGAAAGGGACCGACACAGAATTGGCCAGTGGGCTGGATTTAGCACAAGCATACGGAAGTAACTCATCACCCGTTGCCATCATTCAACTAGCAACTCGCACCCACGTCTGAGCAATAGCGTCGTTCGAACTTGCCCGCGCCGGTGCCCGTGCACGCACCGCCCTAGGCGCTGGCTGGCACTGCGTTAATTGCGCGGCAGGGTGATCACTTCCAAGTTGCTGCCATCTCTTGGGAAGCGAATAGGAGCCGGTCGAGGAAAGCCCGTCGAAGTCAGAATTGAACAAAATGTACTCGACCTAAACTGGCGCTTACACTGTGGTGGTTTAGGGATTTTAGCAGCCAGTCAAATACCGCAATGCGGCCCTCGGTTCAACGCGAAATTAAACTGACATTTTACTTTTTTGTTGCTTGCAGCCCTCCGATGATGTTACTTATCGACGTGAACATAAATATGTCAAAATACGTATCATGCATAGGAGTTTTTGCCTCGCCGAAGGACGCGGGTGCAAATTCACCAGCTGCAGTGCTTTGATCCCCGCTACTGTCACCATGATAGATTGCGATGTCATCCGCACCGCTATTCCACCATGCAGGACAGCACTTTATCCATCTCGCAGGCAGGATTATGTAGAAATTTATCGTCGGGAACACATCCACCATCCGGGCGGACCGCGCACCCATCACTTGGCGTGCGGCTCTTCGATGGACGTGACGGAGATGCGGCCGGCGCCGGCACTGGCAGCGTGGAGCGCACTGCGGGACCAAAGCGAGATCATCTGACTTTCCATGGGGCGGGCGCTGCCTTCCGCCTACAGCAGCCGTATAGAGTCGCCCGGCGAGCAGGTGTCTGTGACGTCAATGTATGTGCATTTCTGGCCCCAGCGACCTTGTGTGTTGCGAGGTAAGCCACTGTCCCTGGCAGCAGTGCATGTGCATGCCCGATCCCGTGCGCGCGCACGATGCAGAGCTCCGCACCAAGGCCGTGGCGAAGGACGATCATTTCTTATAAAAGTGTATTCAAGTCAGCTCCGTGACAGCACTCACAGCCATGATAAAACTAGCGTCGCCCAACGATGTCATGTCCACGAGCGGTCCACGACCCTGACTAGACGGTGATGAGACGGTATGACAGCGGGTCGGCTGGCGACTCCCCCGAGACACGGCCGACGCCCCGTACAGGCCGAACGGACGCGGAGGTGCCGACCGTTCTCGCACAAGCCCTGACAAACTACACGCGACGGCGGCAAGACGCAACACACTATCAACGCTAGGATAACAATCTGTGGCGTGACGCAACGCCCGGTGTCGCGTTCGCTCACAACTGAAGCTTCTTCTTCCTCAGATCGACCACGGCGATACGCGGGTAGAGCTTGACGATCTGTGCCAGCGTCGGCACGTTCACGCGCATGGCGCTGGCGCCGCCCAGCGTCAGGTGCGTCGTCACCTCCGAGTAGCTGTCGATCGGCGGCGGCCGGCGGCCGTAGAACGAGAACGGCGCCGGCAGGTCGCGGCGCGCGCCGCCCGTCGATTTAAACGCCACGCCGCGGCCGGCGCGCGACCAGCCGGCGCGCGCGCGCGCAGTCGACTTGCGCGCCACGCCGCCGGCGGCCGGCGGCCGCCGCTTGCGGGCCGGACTGGCGCCGTCCGCCGACCGCTTGGTGCCGCGGCTGCCTGTGGTCGCGTCGGAGGGCGCCGGCGACCCGACGCGCGGCCCGTCCCTGCCACGCACCACGCGCTTCATCTTCTGATACTCCTGGTCGAGGTGCTCGAGCAGCGTCACCTGCTCGGGCTCGCCGGCGTGCTTGCGCGCGTGATGGCGCACCACCAGCCTGCGTGAACCGTCAGCGAAGTCGCACCGCTGGCACTTGTAGCGTTTGTAGTGTACCAGCATGTGAGCGTCCACGTACGTCAGGCGGCTCGTCGTGTGCGGACACAGCGGACACTTGAAGGACGACGGCAGCGGCGACTCGCCGGCGGCGGCGGCGGCGGCCGGCTTGTCCCCAGTCGCGGCCGGCTCGGCGCTGGCCGCCGGTTCCGTGGTCTCCGCCTGCGCCGCGCCCACCGCCTGCGGCAGACCGCGCGCCGCGTACGTGTCTAGCTTCAGCTCCAGGTGCGAATGGAACACCTGGTGGTGGCTGGTGGCCTTGTCGCGCGTCAGGAAGCGCTCGCGGCACCAGCCGCACTTGAAGCGCGTCTCGCGGTCGTGCGTGCGCGTCTGGAAGTCGGTGGCCGGCTGGTCCGGGTGTCGCGACGCCATGTGCGCCCGGATGCCGGGCATCTTTGCCGACTGGAAGTCACAGTGATTGCAGACGTAGCGGCGCGCCTGGCGTATCACCTTGAAGCGCAGGTGGCTGTGCAGCGTCTTCCAGTGCCCACGCAGCACGGGGATGGTGCCCCGCTCCGAGCAGTACGAGCACTTGTACACCGGCTGCGTCTTGGACGTGTCGGCCGGGCTGGCGGACACCGACCCCGGCTCCGGCTTGGGCTCCAGCTTGGACTCCGCCTTGGACTCCGGCTCCGACTTGGCCTCCAGCTTGGGCTCTTCTGTCGGCTGGTCGCTCGGAGCAGTGCCTTCGATCTGATGCTCCTGGTGGTCCAACACCGACTGAATCTGAAACCCAGACCGGACCATCACCGTCGCACGCCTTGCACGCGCTTTCTGGTCCCTCGTAGTATCAGACGTGGTGTGGATCTAGTCAGCCTGCCGCTCAGCCCGGCTTGGCACTCCAGCCGGCTTCCATCAGTTTCTGCCATTTCATGTTTTCCTTTTATACAAGTTAAACTTTGCATACACGTGCAGAAACACAGTCATTATTCTCCTCAATTTTCGCAATCATGCTTTAGTCAGAGCATTTCCTGTCCAGACCGTACAGCAGCAACAGCGCGCTGATACTACAGCATGATCAAAATATGTCGTCTATTTGTCATGACAAGAACAGGAGCTGGCTCCCGAGGCGCAGCCCTGTGCCCACTGGCCGTGGCCTGTGATCCACGACACATCCTTTTACAATCAGTTGCAACGCCATACTAATCAGATGTACGTGTGCATTATCCAGCAGGTAGTAATGACGTAAAATGTTATGCAAATAAACTTGACATATAATGAGCAAGACCAGATATGTTTCCAAGCATTGGGTCGTCGTCTCAAGTTTGCTACGTACAGTAAGTTGGCGATTCAGAGATTCGGCGTCTCGGTACTGCTGTCTGCTAAGGGTCAAATTTATGGCATCTTTTCTTTAACAATCATGTGTTTCCATTGTATGTTTTAGTCAAGTGAGAAAACTGTATTTCGCATTATTACTGCAAAACAGGAATGCAATGTCACATGACTACCTGGCAAGCGCAGGACATATAGTCCAAGTAAGTACCGTTTGTCGTCACATGCACCGACTTTCTCGGAGACTGGACTTAGCCAGGGTGTTCGTGAGGAACATCTATCGTTATGTAAGCCTGTCATGGTGCAGCAACTCATAGGTTAGCAGCGTCTACATTGGTTCATCCCTATCACACTGCTTGATGTATTGCTCCGTCCCGACGCGCTTGTTCTATCGATTTGCCGCACCTTCTGTTTGGTGTGCAATTACCGTGTGGTAATTTTCACTATGCTTTCCATCACACATCTGTCTCTGTAGAACACATACGAATCACATCATGTCGTGATGACCGGTATGATGGATATAACATGAGCCATGTTGTATGAGTTTCTTCAACTGACGCTCTCTGTAACAGGCTGAGACCGGCAAAAACCTGTTGACAACTGTTTCTGCCTGTTGCTGCCAACCTTGCACCCAACCGGCATGAAAGCCTTAAACACTCATGCCTACGGCAAGTGCAATTATGTTCCTAAGCGCGCAGTCAGTAGTAATCCTCCCAACTTCAACAACCGATCGTGTGGTTTGTGGACACGGGTGAGCTGCACTCCGCTCACTCACACACTCACCCCAGTGCCCTGTAAACGACGCACCAAAGCAGCAAACTCGCACTCGCAGCACTGAGAGATCAGGCCCTAACAGTATCGACAAATCAGCCGACCGCACTCAATGTTCCGCCTCTTGATGGGCAGAACACGCCGTGATCCGAGACGCATCCGCGCCGGGAGTGGCTGCAGCGGGCAGGATCGAGACTCACCCACTGCTCTATGGCCGAGTCGGGCGTCAGTGGCACGATCGCCTCGGGCAGGCGCGCCGTCTTGTGCGCCATCTCATGGTGCCGCTTCATGTTGGGCAGGTTCGTGTTCATGTGGCCGCAGTTTCCGCACACGAAGCTGGTGGTCAAAGTCGGACAGTAAGATCATGACACGTTTGTCTGGCAAAACCTGACGACGTTAACTGCGACCAAGGCATGTGCCACGAGAAATTACGTCGATTCACGTAGTAACTGGCAGTTAAAGCAAGGCACCGACAAGAACACGTTCCGACTAACTTTGGGAAAGCAAAACTGGACGCAGAGAAAATATTTTCAGGGCATGGGCACGAAAGAGTTACCAAGCAAAACAACCATACCTGAAAGCTTTCAGGGGTAAATCGAATGGTTTAGCAAAGAGAATTATGCAGTGCGACGCAAGAGCCACCAGACAAAGAACCAACAGTGACTCTACTCATCGCACATGTAGCCTCCAACCGATACGATGACCACTCACCGATTATACCCTAGCTCCTTGTGGAGGTGCCTGGCGAAGTCCATCTTCCGCTTCGTCTTGTACTTGGTGCACTTCGGACACACGAACTGCTTTCCCTCGGCATCGCCCGTGGGTCCGAGCTCGCACGACTTGGTCTCGTACAGCGAGAGGAACTCGTCCTCGGTGGCGGCGTGCGGCGCCCCCTCGGCCTTCACGCAACCGGCGGCCGGCGACTCCTTCGACTCCTTCACCTTCTCAGTCTCCTTTCCCTCCTTCGTCTCCTCAGTCTCCTCCCTCTCCTCTTCCTGTTCGTCCTCTCCGGACCGCCGCGCCTCGCCGGCCGGCGTCGGCTCCGGCTTGACCTGGCGCGCGGCCGGCCGCGCCCGGAGCCGGCGCGGCTGACGCAGCGCGCGCTTCAGTGCGCGCCGGCGCGCCTGGCCGGCCGGCGCCGTCCGCGCGGCCGGCTCGGCCGCCTTCAGCCGCTTCAGGGGCGCGCGCTCTCCGCCTCCGCCGTCGGGCGAGGCGCGCCGCGCGCCTGCCGGGCGCTTCTTCACCGGCGAGCCGGCGCCGCGCGGCACCTTCACTTCCTCGATGAGGATGCCACGCACATGACGGATGCGGCGCGGGTTGTGGCGCGTCCAGATCGGCTGGCAGTGCTCCACCTTGACGGCTGCCTCGGCGTCCACCTCGTCCAGCCGGTAGTAGATGGCGAACACGTTCACCGCCTCGCTCGGGTGCTTGGCAGCGAAGTGCAGGTCCAAGGCGGAGCGCACCGAGCTGCGTACGCTGCACAGGCCGCACTTGAACTGGCTGCGCAGGTCGTGCACGCTGGCTGCGTGCTCCACCACCTCCGGCTGCGAGAGCGCCTGGTATTTGCAGAGCCCGCAGCGCCACGGCTTGAAGAGCGGCCGCGACGCCTCGTCGTCGTCCGGCTCGCGCACCACCACGTCCACTAGCGGCAGCATGGGGTGCTTGTCGCGCACGTGACGTGTCACCAGGCTACGCTGGTAGTGGTTGTAGATGCAGTACTTGCACTTGTAGAGGCGCGGCCCGTGCAGGCGCAGATGCGCGCTCAGCTTGTCCGGGATCATGTACAGGTCTTTGCAGTGCGGACACGGGTACGTGATCATCTGCCCGTGCAGCGCCTGGATGTGGTACTTGAGCATGGTGTCGTTCAGCGTCAGGTACACGCAGTCGGGCAGGCTGCAGATGTAGCGCTTGTCCTCGG